GTTCGGGTCTTCCTTCCTCTGATCCTCCTGGAAAGGCCTTGACCAACTTCCTGCACGAAGCTCTCCAGACCTCGTCGGGCAGCAAGCGCAAGTCGGTGATGTCGGTGATTCGCCACTTGATGAACCAGGAGAAGGAGGACGCTGAAGTTCGCTCCGAGTGCTCCTCCGTCACGTCGTCTGTGCGTCTCACGGACGACGATGCAAAGAAGTATACTGACGCGCTGGACAAAGGAATGCTGCGCGTCGAGACACTTCCAGTGGAGGACTGTGTGCTTGCGAACTCCAAGGGCCGTAACTATCCGCTCAACACGGCGCCGGACTTGGAAACTATGAGCAAGCCCCCGATGCCGAAGGACGAGCAGGAACGTATCACCGCGATCGAGAAGGGTGGCTTCTCGAAGATTACGGATACCGACGAGCTCGACTTAATCTGCGAGCTGGTGGCGCGCGAAATGAAGTGCTCCACCGGGCTCGTGACGCTTATCAACGAAGACGAGCAACACGTGCTGGCATCCAACGTGCCTCCATTCCGGCAACTGCACATGCCGCGCGATCAGTCCTTCTGCCAGCACACGATCATGAATGACGAGCCACTGCTGGTGCCGAACCCGGAGTCCGACATTCGGTTCCAGAACCTGCCGGCGCTCCATGCTCACGACCTGCGGTTCTACCTAGGTTTCCCACTGAAAGACGAGAATGACCAAGTGGTGGGCTCGGTCTGCTGCATTGACAACACGTCCCGCGAGGTGACTGCGTCGCAGTACTCGGCCATGAAGAAGCTCGCTGAGACGGCCTCCAAGGTGGTGCAAATCAAGGGAAAGCAGGCCACCCACATGTCGGACCCCACGACCAAGGATAGTTAGCTAGCTTCAGCGTGCAGTAGGCACTTCATCATTTATCAATCCATCCACTCTGAATCCGCCTCTTTCTGTTCGATGTTCCAGGCTAATCGATGAGAAGCATCTCTTGCCAAGGTACTTGTCGTAAATGTCGTACATCCAAGGCACGACTTGCTACTCACGTTTCTCATTTGCAGCATGGTCAAGAATATTGTTTGACGTCATGTGAATCGTATACACACTTGGTATGATCGCATTAACAGCAGGTCAGCAACATAGCAAGCATGCGTTGATGAGTCAGGAGGACATACTTCGTATGAGACTCCCTGCTCAGGACTCCAGCAACTTGAAGGCGCTGGCCGCAACACACTTGCAGCATGTGATCCACGGCCTCCTTCACCACAGGATACTAATTAAGTCCCGCAGCGCGTGCAGGACTCAGGAAGCGTGGGGAGAAAAGATTTTTGTGCTCGATACGGCATTCGATTGGAAGATATAATACTAGAATTTTGACCACTCGGCAAAAGGTATCTCTTATTTTGGGACGCTCCAAACAATCATTTTTTTTTTAAAAAACAAAGCTGTTTTCCCTGGCTTAAATGCAAAAAGCAAAATAGAATGACCGTGTAAACAAGCAGCTTTTCTTTTAAATTAGATTTTGTTTGTTAGTTTGCCTGGTGAGATGCCATCAATTAGGGGTAGGAGACTAGCTGGAGAAGGCAAAGCACAGTAGTGCCTTGTTCACTGTACACGCAAATTACAGACCATTCACAGGCCCACGGCCAGTAACAGAAGCAAAAACGCCTTAATCTGACATAGCGCCAGGGAAGCAGGAGCAAGCACCCTCTCTGACGAAGCCCTAGAAGCCACAGATGGAGATTGCGCTTCAGCGGAGGAAGTCGCCGACACCGCGCTGCGGCTGAAGCAGCCCCTGGCGATGGAGCTGATGGCTCCACGCAGCGGAAGAGAAAGAAGATCTTTCGCTTCCTTCCCTCCAGCGACGTCTCCCTGCTATAGGAGGTGATCAAGCACACTCCATGGGCTGCTGGGCACGGCAAAA